GACGTTCGTTGGTACACTTGACGAAATTCGCAGTGTTTGTCTCTTGCATTCACACGGAAAGAGAAAAAGAAGCACATACAACACACGAGATACATCGTGAGCGACGCGCGCGTGCATGCACAGGCACACACATAGCTGCCGTTCGTGTGTCGTGTGTTTTATACGCTTGTCTTTCTGTTTCTGTGCGAATTTCGTCAAGTGTACCAACGAATGTCAAAGCAGAATTCAAATTCAACGGTTTTCAAATCAAACACTATGCAATCGAATGTTTTCAATGTTCTTTTGGAAAAAATTGACGACCAAAAACCAAACTTGTGCAAATGTGATCAACATGAAACTTCCAGAATCTTTTTTTTTCTCAAAAAAATGAAACCTCTTTTAATTCAAGCAAATTGAAAAACAAGGAAAAAAACAAAAGAACGGACCACAATACGACAAGTTCGGGATTACGAATGAAATTCTTTTTATTTATTAAACAGTTAAGGTTTTCCTTGAAATTATGAGTGTATTCAAAAGTTTACAGCTTTTTGCTTAGTATTCGTATATGATTTATCAACTTTTCACATCATAACCGATATAGTCGTACAAAGCAGCAATATTGATATGGTTAAAGAACGACTGAAAGCTTTGCATCATTATAGATAATAACCGAATTCTGCTATTTACAGCTTTTTTAATCAGAGACAACAACCATTTCAGCTTTAAATCGTTAAGATTTGCATTGATTTAAGTAGAGATAATTACCAAAATAGCTTCAAGTTTTTAATATTCTGTTATACATAATGAACAAAAATGTCAAATGATGCAAAAAACTGTTCTAATAGAAATTAATATTCTACATGACAATCGAATACGGAACTCAAAGGAAAACATCTGATTTTTCAATTTATTTCACTTGTGTCCACGGCGTCTTTTTTCTTCAACCTCCTTAAGATAGTCAGCGACCTCCTTTTTATCTGAAAAATAATATCGATTAGTGATGTAGTTTGGATCACATTTTTTTTTTCTAAACAGAAATGTTCAATAATACCATTCTTAAAAGCTTTTTTATAAGGTGTCTTATTACAACTGTCGGTAGCAGTAACACTGGCTCCATTGGCGACAAGAAGTTGAACGATATGTAATTTGCCTGTTGGATAATATCGACCAATGAGAAAGATTAAATCAATTTCTTATTAAGTGAAAATATTCAAAATTACCATTTGCAGCAGCCATATGAAGTGGTGTCCGCTTCCGATCGTCAGTAGAATCCATTTTGGCTCCATTGCTGATGAGATTTTCAACGACATACTTGTGACCTAAAATGTAACACAGATTAAAAATATTAACAGATTAACGGTGACCACAAATAGTGACTTTTTTGACCGTTAACGAAATTACCATTGTCAGCAGCTATATGAAGAGGTGTCTGATTCTTGTGATCTGTACAATTAAAATTGGCTCCGTTCGTGATGAGCATATCAATGATATCCTTGTGACCTGAAAAATAACATCGTACAATGCAAAAGATCAAATCTAATTCTGTTTTATTGAGCATAATTAACCAACATTACCTTTCTCAGCAGCATAATGAAGAGGTGTCCGTTGAAGAGCGTCTGTAGCATCAACTTTGACTCCTTTCTTTGTGAGCATTCCAACAACTTTTGTTTGACCTAAAAATTACAGATCAATGAAATAGATTTAACCAATTTCTTGTTTTGGAAAAAATAAACAATATTCAACATTACCATTCTCAGCAGCCATATGAAGAGGTGTCCGCTTAAGAGCGTCTATAGAATCAGCTTTGGCTCCTTTCGCGATGAGCATTCTAACGACATCCCTGTAACCTAAAAAATAACACCAGACATTGAAAAAGGTCAAACCAAATTCTCATTTATTGAAAATAGGTACCATTCTTGGCTGCTAAGTGAAGAGCTGTTCGATCAAAAAAGTCTGTAATATCAACTTTGGCTCCGTTGCTGATAAGCTTTTTAGCGACAACCTTGTGTCCTGAAAAGTTACATCGATTAATGGAAATGATCAAACCGATTTCTTATTTATTAAAAATTAATATTTAACATTACCATTCAAAGCAGCTAAATGAAGAGGTGTCCGCATATGGCTGTCTCTGGGATCAACTTTAGCTCCATTGCTGTTGAGCTTTTCAACGACATCCTTGTGACCTAAAATGTAACACAGATTAACAATATTAATAGATTAACGGTGACCACAAATAGTGACTTTTTTGACCGTTAACGAAATTACCATAGTCAGCAGCTATATGAAGAGGTGTCTGATTATTATGATCTTCACAATTAACATTTGCTCCATTCGTGATGAGCATATCAATGATATCCTTGTGACCTGAAAAATAACACCGACCAATGAAAAAAATCAAACAAATTTCCTAAGCGAAAATAAATAGACAACATTACCCTTAATAGCAGCATAATGGAGAGGTGTGCGTTTAGAAGCGTCTGTAGGATCAACTTTGACTCCTTCCTTTATGAGCATTTCAACAACTTTTGTTTGACCTAAAAAATACAGATCAATGAAATAGATTTAACCAATTTCTTGTTTTGGAAAAAAAAAACAATATTCAACATTACCATTCTCAGCAGCAAAATGAAGAAGCTTATTGGCATCTTTGATATCAACTTCAGCTCCTTTCATGATGAGCTTCTCAGCAACATCCTTGTGTCCTGAAAAGTTAGTCCGGTCAATGAATTAGATCCAAGCGCTTTCTTATTTAGTGAGCAAAAATATTCCAAATTACCATTCTCAACAGCCAAATGAAGAGGTGTCTGATGAATGTTATTTTCCGAATTAATATTGGCTCCTTTCGTGATGAGAAAGTCAACGACATTCGAGTGACCTGAAAAAGAACACCGATCAATGAACAAAATCCAAACAATTTCTTGTTTTGTGAAAATAAACGTGCAACATTACCATTCATAGCAGCCATATGAAGAGGTTTGCGCTGTTCTTTGTCTGTCGAATCAACTTTAGCTCCTTTCGCAATTAGCTTTTCAACGTCGTCCAAATTACCTGAGACATATCATTCAAATATATTCAATCCATTTCTGATTAAGTTAGCATAAATATCCAAAATTACCATTCTCAGCAGCGACATGAAGAGCTGTTCGGCCGCTTTCGTCTTTTTTGTTTGCTAAAAATTGAAAGAAAAATAGATCAGTGAAGTGAATCGAGAGAAAATGTTTTACATTCGTGAGATGAACTTTGCCACACTTTCTTGTCAAAAATGATAGGGAAATGAGTGTTCCGTTAATTGGAGCAACTCCTCAATGCCACAGAAAAAGTGGGATACGTCATGTCGGAAACCCATATAATATTGAGCAGTTTTTTTTGAAAATATAAATACCAGAGATAAGGTAAGATATGCCATCAGATAGCTTTGATGTGCATCGTGAAATTATATTTCAGTTTTATTGAAGCGAATCACTCAGCGGTAAACTTCAAAAAAAGATTGCGTACTAGTGCTGTGTTTAAAAAAACAACAACTATAACGTCAGAGATAAATGCTTATTTCAGATAGGGAATACGAATATCACAATGACGATTAGAACAGGTGCATCAACGGAGTGAACTCTTTAGACTTTCATGGAAGCCTTAACGCGTGCATCCTTGCTTTGAGTTGATCTCCACATTTTTTGAATGCACGCGTTCAATTTTATTCTCGATTTTTCCTTAATTCGTTCGCATGCAGAAGAATTGTGAATTGAAACGATCGCCTGTATATAAAATATACACAGTGCAGCTCACAACATGGGCTCTCAAGTTGAAAGTTTCAACATGTTGATCGCTGTTGCTGTGTCACATACACAAACATTTGCGCTGTTTTCTTCATTGTACAAACATGCTACACACAGCACAGATCCTTTGCTACACAATCTGCCAGCTAAGACAATACGCATAACTAGCGCCACCTAACGAACCGTACCTGCGACAACATTTAATCAAACAGTGGATGGAACACAATTTGTGGTTACAATAGCACTCTCATATGGTGACGGTACGCGTCGCGAAGTGGCGTTAGTTTCCACTTTTTTTTTTATGGAGATTCCCGTTGCTGTCAGACTGTGCCTTGCTAGATTAAATGGAAGCGCCTTCGTACATCACATAGTGTTTTATATGAGTATTTTGGAGCGAAAATGTAATAAAGAAAAGTTGCGCGGAAAAATGTCGATGATGAATGAGCGGAAAAGGTATAGCTATATATAGCTGTGCCATATTCGTATCTTAATAACCATTCTAATAATTTTTAGAGATTATTGAGATCCGATCATAATACCGATAAATCTTAATAACGCTATCAACTTTTTATCAGGTTATTAACTATATTCAAATAATAAAGTTACCGGATGAATCTTAATAATATCGTTTTGAAGTTATTAAGATCGAATCCTGATAATTTATCAACATTCAATGCCCTTGGCCCATCCTGAAGATCCACTTCCAGAACTGGGAGCAGTTCTGGTCGATCCTGAGGGTCCACCAAAACCCACTTCCAGAACTTGATGATTATTAAGATTGAATGTTGATAAATTATCAGGATTCGATCTTGATAACTTCCCAACGATATTATTAAGATTCATCCGATAACGTTATTATTTGAATATAGTTAATATCCTGATAAAAAGTTGATAGCGTTATTAAGATTCCATCATAATAACGATATCGAACGATATTTTTAGTTTATTACGATATCTTGATAAAAAAAAATCGTGAGCACAGCTATATAGCTATATACTCTGAAAAAACTGATGTAG